CCTAGAGGTAAACTGTATGTCGCATTCGTAGATCTCAAGAGCGCTTTTGATACCATACCCAGGAGTAGATTGTGGGGGGAAACTGGAACGTACCTCGCTCAGGCTAGTAAAAAATCTCTATACGTCATGTGTGGCTCAAGTTTGCTGTGGAGAAAAGGGAGAAATTATGGAGTGCTTCCATCTTGATAAAGGAGTGAAGCAAGGTTGTCTCTTAGTTTATATCTCAATGATCTCGCAGTTGCTCTTACTTCAGTAGCATTCCATCCTCCGTACTTATCCAAAGGCACTAACTCTACTCCTTTACACTGATGACACTATTCTTACATCTCACACTCAGGCTGGACTGAGAAGTATTTTAAGTCGTTTCTCAAAATGTTGCAGATTCGAAGAACTTCAGTTCAGTCATTCAAAGTCAAAAGTTATGGCCTTTTCTAAAGCCAGGAAAACTATTCCTTTGGTCTGAAGAAATGATGGTGCTTAATTAGAACAAGTTTCCAAATTTCCATACCTCCATGTGGTTTTTTTTATTCTAATCTTAACTGGCAATCCCATTTTAAATCTGTAACAAACAAAATTAAACCAGCCGTGGCAGCGATCGAATGCTTCTTTTTCTGCAAGGGAGGTAAATATATTCCAGGTGGGTTGCATGTTTAGGGGCAGCTGCCCCCTTTTCAGAAGCAGAATCCTCATAGGAAGACACAGAGTCCAGTTCACTGCTAGATTTGCTGTCATCTTCTTCTTTGGCGTCCTCAGCTGGTTCTCCCAGTTGCAGTCTCAGGAACTCACACGCTTTGGAAACAGAGTCAGTTTTTTTTCTTTTTTGTCCTGCAGTTTGAAAATGACGCCTTCAGGGGTTAACCATCTGTAGGAAATGCTGTTTGTTTGTAAAAAAAGAATTAAGTCTTTATACTTCTTCCTCTTCTTCCTTATTTCAAATGGGATGTCTTTTAAAATTCTGATGGTGTTGCCTCCGATTTTCAGGGGTGTTCCTATAGTTGCTTTCAGGATAGAATCCCTCACGTGTCTCTTCGAGAATCTAACCACTATCTCCCCAGGCAGATTATTTTTCTTGATGTAAACGGAATAGGCCCTATTAGACCACAACCATTACGCTTATAAGGTATTCCGCTTCTAAATCTGTAACTAGAGCTAATGCATCGCTCAAAAGTTGCTTTAGATTCTCGTCTTTTACTTCAGGGACCCCTTGGAACCGGAGGACCGGTTAGCTTTCTCCATTTGCAGTTGTAAAAGTTGAAATTCATCCAAAGCTTGCTTCCTTTCCAGCATTTGCACCTTTTTCTTGACTTTTTAAGAGTTGGCATCTATTTCCTTTACTTTCTCAGCTGTTTGCTCTGTCTTTTTTGTAGTTTCAGACAGTTGGAGCTGCTGAGTTGCAAAGTTCTGGTTTAGAGTTGTCAGCTGCTGATTGATGTTAGTAATCTGATCCAGTAGAGGGCGCAAAGAGTCCGCCAAAAGTTTAGAGAACTCAGTGGTCTCTTCCAGTCATGGGCTCATGCTCCCCTATGGTTTCACTTTTGCCTGTTTTGTCTCTCTCCCCTTTTTTCCACGCCATTTTTATGGATTGTTTACTTTTGTCAAAACTTGCTAAAGTCTCTGAAATTCGCCCAATGCCTATCCACGCTTTGGTAAGGTTCTTAAAAAGATGTCAACACTTTTAATTCCATCCCCCCCCTGCTAAATCGCTTTTTAGTTTCTCGCCGTTCTCAGGGGGGGGGACTTTCTTTTTATGTTGCCGGTATTTTGCTTTCACTCCACTCACTGTTCTTTGTTGGTCATAAGACCTTGCTCAAAATCTGTTTTAAACGCTCGATCTCCGACGCTTGTCCCAGTCGGCGGCTCTAGTTCCATTCGGACACATAGCAGCAGGACCATCAGGGTGGAAGAGCGCCTCAATTCCCCAGCATCGCACTGGCGAAGAGACCACCCTTCAAAAGGGCCAAGGGTAGGAGCCTTTCACAAAGGATCTGGGGGTAGTGGCGGCAAAATCGCCCCCCCAACCGCTAGCGCGCAGTTTGCACCCCCAGGAGGTACATCTGCCAGTGTGTCGCCATAAACCGGAAGTCCATTATATACCAAATGTTTAGAAAATCAATAATAATAAATTTTTAATGAAATTACCTTGTATGTTTATAATTATGTTACTGGTTTATATGTTGGGCCATAGATATAGCCATGCCAATTCTCCAAATTATTCTGAATAAATAACAATAGAATACAATTATTAAAAATTGTTATATATTGTCTAATTTTTGAATAATTTTAGCCTAAAATAAAATTAAATTGGCCAACAAACATGGTATCAGAGTTTTCAGTGGTCTGGATGTTTGTCACCTCCATCAAAGTAAAAGATCAAATTACTAGCTGCTGCAGTGGCATCATATAGTGTGAACCTGGGATGATGCAATCACCCACATACATTGCACAATGCTTGCCAAGAAGGAGATACAGGTGGGAGGGGGTAAAAAGGAGAGGGGGGAAACAGCATGGGGGTGGGGGGAATAACAAGGTCAGCATACAAAAGAAACAGCAGAGATGGAAGTGACCCAAATAGAGAAGGACATAGAAATGTTTAAAGAGAAGGCTAGGGAGAATATAAGTGAGAGGGAATTCTCTGAACGTTTGGAATCTTTAGATAAGGATATACATAAACAATTTTTAGAATTGAAAGAGGTCAAACTCCACAAATTTCAGAGAGACTTGAAAGACTATGAAGAGGGTAGGGCCTATGATTGGTTAACGCAGAGAAAAACTGGTAATAGTAAGAAATCTGTCTCCTTTGATACCACCTTGAATACCAGTTCTGACATGGAGAACAGTAATCATTCAGGGACAGGATCAGGCCATGCTACCAGTCAGAACAACCAAAACCACTCAATACTGAAGAGAGATGACAATTTTTTAGGACAGGACAAGGAACTAAGGTCAGGAAGATCTACACCCCAAGAATACAGACCCAGATACAAGAGGAGAGGTCAGATAATCTCTCTAAAGTGCAGTTGACAGAGTTAGAACTTTCAGTACTGAGTAAAGGCCTATCCTTTAGGTTGTCGAAGGCTTTCAGGGCCGGAGTTCCATTAGTTGCTGTAGAGTTTTACAGAATGTGTGAGTGTGGTCATTGGCACTGTAGAACCTGACGTTTCGCCAGTCACAGTTACTGGCGAAACGTCAGGTTCTACAATGCCAGGACCATGGCCACACATTCTGGAAAATCTACAGCAACTAAAGGCCTGTCCTTTGTTCCTACACCTCCACGCAATTCATTTCAACTTATGGTGGAAAGTTTTAATCATAATATGTTTTAACACGTTAATAAACATTTGTACTTTTATAACATGCAGTGCTAGCTTAGCCCCTTTGGTTCGCAGTTATATCTTGGGTTGAGTCCCCCCCCTTTTGGGGGGGGTTATTATCAGAGGGATGTAACAGCATCTCTGAGCACTGGGCCCCTTCTAGTCTCACTTTGTAATACTGTGTCCTTTATGTGCGTTCTGTGTTATGTCTGTGTGTATTACCATCATTACTATTTTGTTGTTGTTGTTATTATTTTGCTGCCAGGTTGCAGCCAACTTATGGCCACCCTGTAGGGTTTTCAAGGCAAGAGACATTCAGAGGTGGTTTGTCCATTGCCTGCCTCTGCATCGCAATCCCGGTATTCCTTACTGACCAGGGCGGACCCTGCTTAGCTTCTGAGATTGGGCTAGCCTGAATCCAGGTTAGGGCATCATTACTGTATCTAACAGTAAAAGGGCTGACCTGAAAGCAGTCCGCCCCATTAAATCCCCCCCCCCCCCGGTATGGAGAAAAATATGACTTTGTAAATTTAATAAATGGGAAGAACCCCAACACAGCTTGGTAAGAACTGCACTCGTTACAGGAGGTGTGAAATGTAGAGAACAGTTGGTTAAAAGGGGGAAATAGAGAAATTAGGAAATTCGATTCTTGAGTTCTTGAGCCCCTGAGAGCTTATTGAATCCTGGAGGAAGACATTTTCAAATTGCTTATCTCCCACGTGTGGTTTCTCACGAGACCATGGCTTGTTGCTTCTAATAGCAAACTTCATGTTTAATTGCCATTAAATCAGTGAAAAAGAGCTACCCACTGACAAGAAAATTCCATATGCTTGGGAAACTATCCAGGTATACCAAAAAGTATGATTTTTTTTTAAACCCTTCCTTAAGGCCTGGTTAAAGCAGAACATGCTATAGGAGGCACAGAATGCTGAGGTCAGTGTCGGGTAGTCCCACCGTGTTTTGTTTTTTTTCCTGACTCTGGAAGGTGTAATGCTCTGCAGCTGCTTCTCGCTTCTGCCTCTTATCTAGCCGTTGGCCTTGAGCACGCATCCCTTCGGTGCGAAACTTCTGTTGCCTCCCGCTCACCTTTGAACCATTAACCAGTTCCCTATGCTCCACATTAATTGCTTATTGGCTCCTAAGTGTCAGGGGGTGTTGTATGAACCCACTATAATTACTATTGCCATTTTGTATGCCTCATTCCTGACTCAAAGAGTCTAAGATGACTTCACCTTGCTCTGATCAATAAAGCTGAACCTGTTTAAGGACCTGCTGTTGATGCTGAGTTAATGAAGTACCTGACAGTCAGTTGACCATTGGTTAAGGGGAGATCAAATGGAAAACAGACAGGGCGAATTTACCAGTAGGTCTTTACATTACCACAAGACTATTTTTGCTGCAACAAACCAATACAGCTACCCTTCTGAAATCTGAAATAACATGGTTGTTTCCACACCACTTCCAGTGACGTCTACACAAGCTGCTGAAGAGGTTAGCATGGACCTTATGGGGTTAACATGCCCCATTTGTGACACACACCCTAACCACAAGGCACACAGATGTAGGCATTGCCTTAAAGTAGTATGGGGCTGAATCCTACAAGAAGTAGAGGGAACTTGTATATAGCTAAATTGTACTTTTTAAGAATATATCTCTGTATAGTAACTCGTTTCTGTTTTTTCTCTGAAGGGTCGTGATTACTGTTCAGAAGAAGAGGATATCACATAGTGCCAATTCTGCCGATCAGAAAAGGAATGCTACTGCTGTGTAAATAGATTACAGTCCAGTCGAGATCTGTTTTCAGAAGTCTTCTCAAGTGAACAGCACTATATAACAAAACAAAAAAAGATCATTTCCACATTGTATGCTCCGTTCAGTGACAGTGTTTCTTAATGACCATACAATGAACATTGCTCAAGGAAAAGAAAAACACCTTGTATGGAACTGCCTCTGCTGCTGCTAGTTGGAACTTGTTGCAGGTTTTTCAATTTCCTGTGGTCCCCAGAAACACGGCAAATCTTTGACATACAATCTGAGAGAGACACTGTAGATTCCTCTTGGGCAGTCGGCCTGTTTTCTATTGGCTGCGGTAGTGGTTAATATGAAAAACCTTCCATAACCGAGCGGCTCAGCCTTCCAATTCACCCTGTTTGTCAACCCCCACCCCCCTCACCAAACGGGGTCATGGAGTTCTTCTTATTACTGACAATATAGAGCTTTGGAGATGGGATGCTTTTGCCATGACAGACGTCGTTTCTGTGCTAGGAAGAAGTTATCAGTAAAAAAAAGCATGCACACAAATACTGGATATGGTGATGCAGGAGCAGAAATCTGTATTTTTTTTAAAAAACGGTTTCTTTTACTAGATATTTCAGTCAAGGAATAAGCTTGCAGTATTGGCTTTGCTGAACGCATTTGGAAGTTGTGATCGCAATCAGTTTGACTCCCTCGGGTTTTTTTTTCTAAGAAAATAAACATTTTACTGTTTTTAGGTATTCTTGTCTTAAACCCATTCATACAGTCCAGTGTTTTAAGGATAACTGGGTAAAAAGGGGGGGAGGGGGAACCAAAGCACCCCTTTGGGATTATAATTGGGAGAGGATGTTATTTTAAAGCCCCTATGTGCCAATTTGGGGATGTCTGTAGAGTTTATTTTTCCATATTATAAAAAAAAGATGATACTCTCTCTTCTCAAAGGCAGATGTAATATTTTTAACAAATATTGTCATGAGTAAAATAATCCTAAGGTTTAAAAAAACACCTTTGCATTTATTTTTTTGAAGAAGTCTGGTGACAGATTCCTTTGTGTCTTCATCGTTTTATGGGGGAGTGTGCCCATCAAAGAAGAAGAAAAACACACTTCCCTCTAGATTTTTAAAAAAATCCTCCTGTGGCCATTTAAAAAGCAAGCACTCATTTTGGTCACTGTAGAATTGATGCTATAATTAAGACTAAGATTTTTCCAAGCTAACAAATGTTCACAGGAAATTCTTTTGTTTTCGTATGTTGAATTAAGAGATAATCGACTAGAATTAGATATACTCAGAGTCGATATTCAACGATTGCCTGCTCAGTTCCAGAGCCTTACCTGAGGATACATATACTACTGACCCGTCAGGACAATTCGCCACAAGTGTCATTGAGCCTCACCTGCACTGATTCTCTGTTTCTCACTGGACGAATTGGCCTCCTCTGATGTCCCTGTTAACCATGTGTCCAATCTCTCACTGGACCATCAACTTGGTGTTTCAGATCTCAGCCTCCGTTTGTGTCACAGAGGGCCTTTGGATCTCTGGGTCTTGACAGTGGGAAAGCCTTTCAGTTCTGAATTCTAGGGTACATAAGCTGCTGTAAAGGACAAAAGAGTTGCCTGCAAACCCTGGGCTTTCACAGGGCTCCCTTTTGGGTGTTCATCTGATGAGTGGTTTGCGTGCCTTCTAAATGACAAGGTAACAACAATCTCTGCTTAAGAGAAGAGCTACCCATAAGTCGTAAAGCATAAGTGATATATTCAGGAATCTTACCTTCTTGTCCTTCAACCTCACTGGATTCCCTTTCCTTTCTGTATTTAGATTCAGCATCTGATTTTACCTTTTCAGTCTTTCTCTTAATGTCTGTATATTCCTTCCTGCCCCCTTTATTTGGTTGGTTCTGTTACATTATCCCAGCTTTCCCCTGGACATTTATTTATGATTAATGAGAGAGGGCGTGGACTCACCCTTGTATTAGTCCCTGGAGAAAAGGGGTGGGGGCCTCTGGGGCAAGGCAAAGTCTGGGCAAGTGCTTGAGGCAGTCACCAGCCCCCTGTTTTCTCCTTTTGGAAGCCAAGAAGACCACACAGGGGATTTGATCTCACAAACTGCCACATTAAGAGAGACTTTGCATAGCTTCACACCTAATCAGGGAACCTGGTAGGCACAGGAAGGAGTCTGCTTGGTTTGTTTGTTTTTCAGGTGTTGGTCCTTAACAGATTTTGAATATCAAGAATCTTTTGACTCGGCTGTGAACACTCAAAAAGAATGGTTCCGAGATAGATAGTCCACCCCAAGAGAAAGGTTGCTCCACTTCTTTTTTTAATCTCCCCGGTGTTTCCAGTTTCCCCAGTCTGCCCATGATATTCTGGAGCTTGGAATGGCCTCTAGCTGCTCATAGAATTAGGGACACGTCATATAGAAGATCTGAGGTTGGGTCTCTGAACATACTTGACATGCAAGAACAGTTGTGTAAGATGAGATTCAGGTTAGAGCCATGGCAGTAGGTCAAGGAAGGGTTAACTGTTTCCTCAAAACAAGCCCCTCTGCTCTGCAGTTAGGCCCAGTAGTGAAAGAAGGTAGGTACAATAGCAGTTGTCTTTCTCTTCCAGGGCTAATTCCAGCTTGGGATGCCAGGTTCCTGATGGGAAAACTGCACTGGCCGGGGGATCACTCCCCCCATACACTTGCTTCTTAGGTCCGGAAAACCCATTGGGAGAGCCAGCAGCTGATCTCCAGCACAACATGTGGTTTGGGTTGTCAACAACTTGTGCTGTTTTCCTTCCACCCCTTCCCCCAGTCAAGATGCTCTGTTCCTGGAAGAAGGAAGGCCTCCAAAGCCCTTCCTCCTTGCTCAGTGCCCCCAGAGTCTGTGTTTGACTTAGAGTCTTAGGACCGACTGCGGCCGTTGGGGATGAGGAAAGCCAAAGAGACCCTGTCTCCCATAGCAACTGCCTGCCTCCCCTTTCAAGAGTCATGGTACTGGTGTGTGGTCTGCCTTTGCAAGTAAGAGGAAATAAAACACAGCTGTGCTGTGAGGAAGAAAGTGGTCACCTTTTTTCCAGTATGGCACTCCCAATTTAGCACGCTGTCATGTCGAAACCCCGCTGCCGTGGTCACCTTTTTTAAGTTGGGAAAGTGACTCCTTGACATTGAGCCTGGGGGAGGTGAGAGAGGTGGTGGCGCCCCTGTCTTTCATCGGGTGCATAATTACCAAAAATGCTAAATTCTAGTTCGTAGGAGTAACCCAGTGGGTGGGAAATTATTTCCCAACATACAAATGAGAATAAGCAAAATTCACATGTGGAAATCATGAGTGATCTAGCTGATACTGTCCCGGTTTTAACACTGGAACCACAACAGCAAGTCCAAACTTATTGCAGTTGTTCTTTAATGCCCTCTCTTAGTTTTGTGGGGGGAGAGATTGCCCAAAAGTGTTAAGATAAAACTGTGAAATTCTCTTAAGAATCACTGTATATGACGTTTCCTGAATATCTGTATCTTATCATAGGCGTTTTTTTTAGCTTACTGGATGCTACAGGGTTCCCTGTGTCTTCAGAATCCAATTTAGCCTGGTTTTTTTCCCCTCTAGAATTAAAATGGAGGCTACCCTTCCCCTATCTGGTGTTTGCTTTATTTCCTGCGGGTCACCATATCAAAACAAGGCAGCCACTTGGCAGAAATGATCATGTTTATCCTGCAAGAAAACAACAACTGGGACAAATTCTGCAACTCAAGGAGTTCTGTCAGGTGAGTTAGTTTTGTGAGTTGACAAGTTGAGTAAGGCTTGAGATTACAGTACTCTCTTTTTAAAGAGTGGGAAGTGTTTTGAGAAGAAAGTTTTCAAATTTTGTTTTCTCCCACAGTTGCCTCAGGTCGATCAGTTTTCTCAGACTTTTGGAACTGTACAAATATACACAAAGCCAATGTACTAAAATGGGATTAAGTGCTACAAATAGCGATTCCTCTTTCCAACTCTCTGGAACAAAACAGTCATCTGTTTCCAGCTGTGGTTTCTAGGTGGAGTTAGTCCAGTGGTCAGAAATGTGAAGAGGCTTGGAATAATAAATTGCTTCTTGTTAGGTATATCACCACAGCAACCCCCAAATATTGCATTTCTCATTCTATTATAAAAACTCAAGTTTGCAACTTTCTATTTACAGCTAAATGGAGAATTGTTTGGGTGGAGGGAAATGCATTGACACATTCAGTGCCAGAAAGGAAGGAAGTGTTGGGAGGAGACCTTGGGAGGAATTAATGGTAATCAGAGGTAGATAACATGGCTACATTCAAGACGGCATCAGTTCACCAAAAAGCTTAACGCAATTGTCCACACAATTTTGTAAGATTGATAACTTACATCGTTATAAATAGCAAGTTCCAATAATGGCACTTTCCTTGGGTACTCACTGAGGACATAGTTGAAATCCCATTATGAATAAACCTGTCATGGAACCAAAATATTACCACTAAGTATGATAATATAATAACAAGGTATCTATAATGTATAACATTAAATGAAAATGGGAATTATCTCCAAAATATCAGCTCTTTTTCCAGCATTTATCTGGGATAAGCCAAACTGGGGAAGTATAAGCAAATTATTTGTTCCTGCAACTTTTTGTTGGCATGTTTAATTTTATAGTAATGTAATACTTCAAGGTTAAAATCTAAAAATCATACTGAATCTTAAGATTCCTCATCCATCGAGTACCTCTAGCATCATCATCATCATTATTATTGCATCCTTTTTATGACAGAGAATGTAAAGAATATGTTTAGTTAATGCCATCAATAGCTGATGTTGTTGCTGTAGAATAAGGAAATAAATGAATACATAATGCATTGTGGGGATTACAGTGCCAAGATAAAACCTGGGGAAAAAGAGAGGGTGTCCTTCCTGATCCTTGCAGAATCATATTGTAGGCAGGTGTGACACCCCTTGTCCACTCACACAGAGTGCTTACCACCCTCTGCAGTCTCCCTTATTCAGGTTATGGGTTATGAGGACATCACAACACCACCCTTCTTGTCTCTTTTAAAATGTACAGAGGCATGACCATCTCACACCTCAGGTCTTCTCTCTTCACTCCCAGAGACATTCACAGACAGGGGAGCCCAGCCCCCTTTAATAATCCGCCCTCCCACACAACTATTGGGGTTGGGGCTCAAACTCTCAAGCAGCTCATCTACACAGTCCCCCTGTATAGCTGACAGGTTAAGGGCAGAGGTGAAAAGGGGTTTTTCCACTTCAGCCCTTAAGCTGTCAGCTTTTTCCCATCTACAAGCTCCCCTGTCCTTTCTCAACTGCTCTTCTCCACATCTCCTCCTCTCAACATTCTGTCAGCTCTCATTGGCTACTCACAGGGAGAGGCTGAACCTAGTCTGTCCATCACAGTGGGTAAGGTGACGGGTTCAAGATCAAAGGAACTGAAGAGAACTCACAACTGACTGCATTATACCAAAAACAGTCCATTGGTTGGTCCTTCTAACCAGAAGAATCTGGGACCTTACACAAAGCGTGTGTTTGATTATTGAGTTCTGTCCCCTTCTTCACTGTTTTATTTTAACAGATATTTATTTACATCGTTTTTCTGCTGTTGCTGTTCCATGTCCCTCTTAGCTCACCTCACCAATTATCTTCCTCAGTGAACCACTGCTGGGCTTTGAGTCTGTGAAGGATTTTGTAAGCCTTGGGAGCCAGCCTCAGTAGTACTCACAGGCCACCTACATTACACGGTGCACAGGTTGGGTTGGGAGTGTCTACTCTGTGTAACAGATGTGAATTGTTTTCAATTCCTTTGTGTGTATGTAGTGCCTGGTTCGAATCAGGACCCTAGGCTACACCCACCCACCCCCCGGT